CCACCCCCGATTAACGGGACAAGTTGCCACAGGAAAGTGAATAGCTCGTCCAGCATGGTAGATAAGGTCCATGCCCACAGGACTCCCAGGGAACTTCAGGAGAACCCAGTGGAAAGCCATGTGGGCTAGCAGGCTTCCCAACTGGTTTTGTCTGCTGCAAGGAAGCAGTGGAGGTGAGTAAGCTGGGGGCAGGTCACAGAAACATTTGCCCTTAGATCAGCAGCGAGGCTCTGGTTGGCTGGAGAACGTCTCCAATCCCTTAGCCGCCCAGTGAGCCTAATGCCACTTCTGGGCATGCCTGGTATTGACTGAAAAGGAGGGCATGGTTAGTTACCAAAGGACATGGAAAAATTCCCTCGGGTTCACACAGATACCATTACTGGACTCGGGTCCCCTCCAGCATTTTGCAGTCCAGAGCTGGGGATCCACCTTGGGCTTTGGGCAAAAGGGATAAATTCAGAAGGATCGGACCATTCAGGCAAGGCTCCTTGGGAAAACACGCCCAGTGGGAAAACACGAAGCTCCTGCACCGCCCCTCCCCAGCCTCTGAGAGGCCCCGCCTCCTCCAGCCTGAGCTGTGAGCGCCCTCCACCCAGCAAAGACCATCCCAGCGCTAAAAGTGCCTCCTGCCCACCTAGGATTCCCTTCTGTAGCATTAGCTACGCACAGTGTTGGAAAAGGGCACCCAAAGGGTTTGGGTGTATGTGCCTGGGGGCTACTTGGGGCTGGTTTATGGCGATGGACGGGGCTGGAGCAGAACATGAGGTGCAGGAGGACGCGTGGGGAGAGGAAAGGTGCCACTGGGGAGGATCTGACTGTGACAACAAAAGCCCCCAGAGGGCTTGCCTGGCTGGGTGCACGGCCCGAACCTCCAGGGAGTGCTGCGGCCCTGGACCAACGCCTGCCTCACTGATGTGGTACAAGTCATCTGCTGCCTTGAGTTTCGAGTTCTGTAGTTGGTGAGCAAAAAGGAATACCTAAAAAAGGAATCTTTCTATAGCGTCATTTACACGTGGGCTGAAGTTAAGTTCAGGGTGGAGCAAAGTAAACTCCGGTTAAGAGGAGAAAGCAGAAACAGAGCATAGGGATAGGAAATAGGAATGCTGCCGAATATCTAGCCCATGAGGGACGGAACCATAAATTATTCGTGAAGAGAGCTCTTTCAGGGTCATGGGTCCACGGCTCTCATCCTTGGATGGAAACAAAAACCTCACCCACTGCCCACACAGAGCCGCCAAAAGTGGGCCTTTTTAGGGGCCACCGGAGGGTTTCAGCTGCCGTCTGCTGCGTTCCATGTCCCCCAAAGCTCCCTGGTTTCTGTTCTCCAGCCCAGGGGTCAGCCTGGAAAAGAGCCTCTGCCTTTTGTCCCTGTAAACTGCTTCCTCCAGCATAAAGGAACGTGAGCGAGCTCTGACACAAAGTCTGCTTCTGAGCCTGCAGACTTGAAGCCAGTGAAACCGAGGAGTTCCCTGAAATCCTGGTCCTAGCAGCTCCACTCCCCTGGAGGCGCAGTGCCTCCTGCCCTCCTTCGGCCCTGCATGGAGCAGAGACAGCCAAGCAGATGCCGCTGAGGGCCAGGGCAGCTCCGTGATCGATCCGCACCTTCAAGGGCCCCTTACACGTGGCCCTCTGCGAGGCAACAGAGGCTGAGGTCAAAAGACAGCATCCCACACCTCCTCAGGGAGCTCACCAGCTCCTGCAGGCATCTGGGGAGAGGGTAGAGCTGCCCCTGGGAACCAGGACCAGCCAAGGGTGTCTGCAACAACCTTTTCCCCCTGTTTTTTTTTTTTTTTTAAACAAGAAACAGGAGAAAGCACCCAGTCTTCCTAAATTTTCCTTAGGATAAGGAAAAGTGGAAGCTTATATACCAAGTCTGGCCCAAATCCAAGGCAAGGGAAAAAAACCCTGGGCCTAACCCGTCTTATAGAGCTAAGCACCGATCGCAAGTCCCTCTGAAATGACAAACTAGACTAGTGATATTACTGTAAAGAAGATCCCTGCAGCCCTGAAGGGCTCAGAAGAGAAGAGTGCTCCCTTGATCACCGCAGCCCTCTATGTGACAGCTGCCATGTTGGGCAGAGCTGTTCCTGGAGACCCAGAATGTAAACCCCCGGCTCTGCCAGGACGGCCCCATCTGTTTAGCGTCTCCTGTAAGACAAAGAGAAGAGCCACCCCCATCCCGCTATATTTGGCATTAGGTAATCATGAAGGTCACGAGGAGAAAGGAGGAAGGGAGGCCTCGTCACCAAAGCAACCCTGACGGCAGACACACTGCTGGGCCCATGGCCCGATGCTAACGAGGCCCATGGCAATTAGGGGGAGGCTCAGAGCCACGGGATCTCAGAGCCAGTGCAACATTCCCATGTGTGGGAGGAGCCCATCCAGCCCAGGACAGAGCTTTTATGCCAGAACTTTCTCCTCTGCCTTCCACCTGGCGTCTGGAACACCACCAACAATCCCTGCATCCTCCTCTCTGCCCAAGTCGCCAACTACCCACGGAGGCTGGTATGATTCACTGGTCAAACCAAAGACACACACCCTTGGTGGGGGGGGAGGGGAGGGTGGGGGTCGGATTTGGACCCTTTATCCTCCAGTCACCCATCCTTCGGCCCCCAACGGCAATACACAAGCCCTCCCCACTTTACTGATATCCAGATTCCACGCCACTAGCTTGGGACAGACGGAGTTTGTTCTCCGACTTCCTCAGGGTATTCAGTGACCCTTCATCCAACGAGCTCTCTCCAAGGAGAGATGTTTAGCTTTACGAAAATACCTAAAGCTACTGGGGTATGTTTTCTTGCCAAGGTATCTGACAACTGGCCTATTTTTAAAGTCCCAACCAATAATCTTTGAGAGGCACCCTACACACAGACAAGGAGGCGATGAGCAAAAAAGTCATGAGACCAGTATTAGGTTTTTGTTTTTCAATCAGGCCAGAATCTGCCCAACCAAATAAACAATATTTTCTTCAAAGGGGTCTCCTTAGGGGGCCCTGCCCTCACTGCACTGGTGCTTTGTTTGTTCAGAACACTTTTGGGAAGTCCTGTTGTAGCAGAGCCTCTGTTTTGCATATAGTCCAGCATAATGTTACAAGCACTGAACTAGCCGCTGCTACTGTGAGCCAGGCACTGTTTAGGCCCCGAGGCCATCCAGGTAAATAAAACAAGGCCCGTCCCAGCAAGGTGCTCACTACCTGGTGGAGAAGGGAGGAGAAAGGGAACAAAGATTTTGGGGGGAATGCACGCCATAAGCCAGGTACTGGGCTAACAGCTTTTGCTACATTGCCTTTAATACACGCACACCAAAAAAAAGGTCCTCTTAAATGCAAAGACTGAAACTGAGTGAGGTTCAGTGACTTAGCCAAAGTCACACAACCCGGGAATTACAGGACCGGTGCTGGCCCCAGGCTGCCAGGCTCCCAGCTGGATCTCCCACCACTGCAGCACCCGGCAGTAAACAGGCCATCCTAGTACAGGAGGTGAGGTAGGGCTGGTCAGAAGAGGTTGCTCAGAGCAGGGAAACTCCACCTGGGCCCAGGGGAGGAGCTTGCCACGCGTGTCTCCTCTCGTGTCGAGAGCTTGCCTTGCACGCGCCTACTGTTTATCCTTTCGTCAGGACTCTGTGACAAGCCAGGTGGGCAGGGAGAGTTTCTCCAGATAGTAAACAGGACTCTTATACCCTAACAATGTATGTACACGTAGACAGACAGACGGACACTCAGACACATCCAGATGTGCCTCACTCACTCACACAGAGTACCATCCACGCAACTTGTCAACCTCACAAGGAGGCAGGGAAAGCAGGCCTTCGTTCCAACATGTCAAAACTAGTTTCTCACAATAGCCAAGAGGTGGAAACCACCCAAGTATCCATCAATGGATGAATGCATGGACGAAATGTGCGCTACACTTACAATGGAATGTTATTCAGCCCTGAACTGGAAGGAAATTCTGACTCGTGGATGAACCTTGAAGATATTAAGCTAAGTGAAATAAGTCAGTCACAGAAAGACAAATACTATGTCTCCACTGATATGAGGGACCTAGAGTGGTCCAATTCCTAGAGACAGAAAGTGGGATGGTGGCTGCCGGGGGCTGGGAGGGAGGGATGGGGAGTTAGTGTTTAATGGGTATGGAGTTTCAGTTCGGGAAGGTGAAAAGGTTCTGGAGATGGATGGCTCTGGTGTTGGTTACACAACAATGTGAATGTACTTAGTGCCACAGAAATGCACACTTAAAAACGGTTAAAATGGTAAATTTTATGCTGGAGAGGATGTGGAGAAAAGGGAACCCTCCTACACTGTTGGTGGTAATGTAAACTGATGCAGTCACTATGGAAAACAGTATGGAAGTTCCTCAAAAAACTAAAAATAGAGTTACCATATGATCCAGCAATCCCACTCCTGGGCATATATCCAGAGACAACTCTAATTCGAAAAGATACATGCACCCCAACGTTCATAGCAGCACTATTTACAATAGCCAAGACATGGAAGCAACCTAAATGTCCACCAATGTATGAATGGATACAGAAGATGTGGTGTGTATATATAATGGCATACTACTCAGCCATAAAAAAGAATGAAACAATGCCATTTGCAGCAACATGGATGGACCTAGAGATTATCACACTAAGTGAGGTAAGTCAGACAGAAAGACAAATATATCACTTATATATGGAATCTAAAATATGACACAAATGGACTTATTTACAAAACAGACTCACAAACATAGAAAACAAACTTATGGTTACCAAAGGGGAAAGGGGGTGGTGGAGGGATAAATTAGGATTTGGGATTAGCAGGTACAAACTACTCTATATCAAATAGATAAACAACAAGGTCCTACGGTATAGCACAGGAAACTATATTCAATATCTTGTAATAACCTATAATGAAAAAGGATATATATATATCGGAATCGCTGTGCTGTATACCAGAATCTAACACAACATTGTAAATCAGCTATACTTCAATTTTTTTTAAAAAAAAGTAAATTTTCCACACTTAAAAAAAAATTTGTTTATTCTCCTTGGGAGTAAGATGCATATTCCTTTCCTCAAATTAACCACAGACACATTCATAAGATCAGTTTCTTCTATTCTCTTCCCAACCTCGGGCCGTAAGGCTTCCAGTGTCAGCAGCAGGCAGGGGCCGAATGCAGCTGCACACACAGTAAGCAGACGTTCTAGAATGAGCCCCAGAAAAAGCCCCCAAATGTATATAAATGCCTTAGCTCGAGCCTGAATCAACAGGAGGAAATGGAGGACCTAGAATTAGCAGACACGTGCCCCCTCCCAATTTGCAAAACAGTATTTTGGCTCGTGTGGTTGGCCCAATACAGAGCACAGCAAATAATTTTGATGCAGGAACAATAAAAAGAGACCTCTGGTACTAAGACTGATGTGTTAAGGAAAACTTTGTTCTCTGACCAATTTCAACTTTCCCTGATAAATAATAATGTTGTAATGTCCAGGAGTCTGTCCTGTCACCTCAACAGCTGTGTACTCTGCTTCCAAATATTTCTTCTGTGTTGCTTCCATCTCTCCCCATGGAGTCTTTGTACGTGATGAGTTCAATTTTAAATGACCCCAAACTAAAAATAAACACAGAAGAGCTCTGGGAGCAGCTCTAGATTGTATCAGCCCTAATCCCCAAGGCAAGTCGCAGTGGGTCCCGGGAGCCCCAACCATGACCCACCCAGAGTCCATAGCGGCTACTCTTTGTCCTGGGCTCCCAGGTACCGGCTGGAGTCCACATGGTGACTTATGAAGGGCCAGTAATGAAACATAACAGCTCTGGGAAAACAAGGATAAAAGGCCTGGGGTGGGGAGATGGGGGGGGGTCAGTATTTATCAAGGGCCTACTATGAGCACGATGCTAGACCTTAATTTTTCATGAGTCTTCACAACCGTATAGCTGTGCAGTTTAATGAAGGAGAAGAAATTCAGCAATCTGCCCAAAAAGAAGGGCTAGAATTCAACTCCAAGTCATCTGACTCTGCAGTTTACACTCTTTCCATTACGCTCAGCTGCCTCTCACAATGCCTTTTATATATTTTTTCAAATCTCACTTGTCTGTATTCTAAGCTTTCCCAAGTTTTCTGTAGGCCCCAGCCCAGTCCAACTTTCCATTTGAGTTAAAAGAACATCTTCCCAGCTGCTGTGTCCCAAGTCACGTGAAATGGCGGGAAGAGGTTTCAAAAACCCAAGTCCAAAAGCCTCTTCAAATAAATAGGAAACTGGAACTTATTTTTAAAGGGGTAAGCTTCTAAAGAAAGCACCCTCATTCTGCAGCCCTGAAATCCTCCACAGAAACCAGGGCCGATCTCCACCCTACCCGGCCCCAAAGGAGCTGAGGCTGAACTTGGCCTCTAGAGAGCCTGGGGGTCTGGGCCACACTGGCTAGTTCTGAGCCACCACTTTAAGGAAAAGTCACATCACACCACCAACGGCTGAACCCCAAAGAAAGAGCTGGAGGGCACATGGTGTTCCAGAGACTTAGCTCCACCTGCATAACTATTAATGTCCAGAATATAAATACTCGAGTTTGAGGAACACGCCAACTTCTTAAGAGATGGAAAGAACGAAAGAGACAGGCCAACTCACCGCGCGACAGCACCTTGTGGAAGTATTTTTGCCAATGCGAACGCTGTCTCTCATTTCTCCTCCTCCTCTTTTCCTAACACGTACCAACAACCGGCAGACAATAAAATCTCAACATCTGACCCTAAGTCCACGGCTTTGGTCTCCTGGCCCTGGACCTACTTCAGACCCGACTGGAACAGAGCTCGCTGGTCAGGGAACAAAGCAGGCATTTCGGTCCAGTTTGCTGCTTTTGTCCGAGGACCAAAGAGTCCTTCAAGGCCACACCGTTACAACAGACCTTCTGGTCAACTGCTGGGAGCAGACAGCACAGAGCTTTTCCAGAAGCTGGGTTAAAGTTACTGCGTGGAATGGGAGGCCCAGGAGCCCAAAAGCAGAGCACGGAAGACACTGAGCTAAGTTTGCCTCGGGCTTCCGGAAGGAGTCAGGGCCCTCCATCACCCCCTTCCACCTCTCCTGCCTTTTCCTGGCTGGTCTAAACCGAATACCATCAAGCAATGCTGAGAACCTCTTTATACACAGAGATTAGGGAAACGCTTGTCTAAGAGTCATGGTTTTAAGAACGTAATTTCTAGACTTTAGAACCACTTTCTATGTCCATAGCAGGCAGTCCTCCCATTCTGAGTTCACATCACGTGCTGACACCATGGGTCAGACGGAAGGGCTACGTCGGGGGCTGATGTGTATCTTATTCCCCTTTCCTGGATGACCCCAATTTCCCCACAAAGCCTCATGTGGTTCTTTTAAGAGAACTCAAGTTATCCAAGGGCCCCAGCCACAGGGGATCTCCCAGCGCACTTTGCTTACTATACTTGTCTTCAGGGACAGCCCAAAAGAACTCCACTGTGTGTTCACAGAACCGCTACCAGTAACCCTTAAGATAGCACAGAGAGTATGAGAAGGCTCAGAGGACTACAGACAGGTCAATATGTATTTGCCTAATGTTCTGCCAACCTGGATTCTGGAAGCTGCCAGCCAACTGGCAGACAAAAGGCTGGATTATAGAACAAGTGATTTGTGAACAAACAGAGAAAAGTAGACATTGCTAACAGTCTAATGCATTCAGTAAGAAAAAAATCTCAACAAACCACTCTCATTTCTTCTTTGGATGCAGGCTACAAAACCAGGAAGAATGCCACAGAGAATGTGTTTATATCTCACCAAGTTGCATGAAGAAGCAGAGAAATAAAATCTGCACGAGAGCGTGGTTGAATAGTTTTGAAGCTGTTTGAACTACATCCTGGGGACTATTGACAACAGACCTTTAAGAACCTTCAGGGATGCTTCTGTTAGGACCCCACAGTGTTCTTTCCTGAGTCTAACCCTAGACGACCTTTTCACTGATATCAATGACTTCTTATAACTGGTGAATACAGCAGGACTAACTGGTCTGGAATGCCTTCCATCGTAACTGACCAGATGAACTGGATGCCCATAGTGCACATCACAGTTTTATCAAGTACTCTCACATATCTTATCTCATTTGAGCCTCCCAAGTGAGGGAGCCTGGGATCAGGACACTCATTTTGCAGCTGAAGAAACTCAGACTCAGTCATCAGGGTTTCTCAACCTCTACCATACTGACAGTTCGGATGGAGTAATTCTTTGTTCTGCTGTGCGTGTAGGTTGTTGAGCAGCGTTCATGACCTCTACCCATAAAATACCAGTAGCACCCCCTCCCTTGTAGTTGTGACAGACAAAAAATGTCTCTAGGTCCAGAGTTAAAAAGTTGCCAGGGCTGTATTTGCATTCAAGTCTCCTTATTCTTCCTACCCTTGCAAAAAGCGGGACAAGGGCGGGACAGTGAATAGGATAAATCACAGAAAGTCACAGGAGTCAGAATTACCTTGAGTGAAATGTTAGGCCAAAATCCATAATAAAAGAGAATGGAGTCCGTATTTTGGTGTTAAAGATACCCATTGCGCAGTAAGGCTGATGCCGGTTTAACAGCAGTTATATGCGGCAGACCGGGGGCGGGGACCGAGCTCGTGAAGTGCAGGTGTCTCCCGCCCTTCAGTCCAGCTCCGCTGCCCCAGCACCGCCCCGTGGTCCTGTCTCCCCTCCCCACCCATGGCAGAGGACCCTGAGACACTGCAGAGCCCCCGCTGCCCCTGGAGAACTTGCCTCCACCCCATCCTCACCCTGCCCTTCCGAGGAGTCCGGCGTGCCGTAAAACTGGCAGACAGACAGCAAGAAGGAAGAGAGGGGAAAGGAAGGGAGGTGGGGGAAATGGCTAGAAGTAGAGGAGGGCAATGGAGAAAATATGGCAAGGCCCACACCACCAATGGAACCCCCAGCGCGGGGGCATTGCAGGAGGATGCAGGCAGGGAGAGGGCGGAAGGGCCCTAGGCCCAGGACCAAGAAGAAAAGAGAAAAAGGCGGAGCAGGGGGAAAGACTCATGGTCCCCAGGCCTCCTCCCCAGCCCTCCAACTGTCATTCCCACTTTCATTTTCCCTCGTCCCTCCAGCTCCTGCCTGCCCCTCACCTAGGACACCCAGCTTCGCCCACTACCCACTCACTAATGCCCTACCTGAGAGTCTTTGGAATTCAATATAATTGGTTAAAATCCTGGCTTTACCAATTACTAGCTGTATGATTTGGTCCAATTATTTAATCTCTCTAAGCCTCAGTTGCCTTATCTGTGAAATGGGGATAATAGTTTTGCTCATAGTTTTGCTATGGGATTAAATGAGAATTAGGTTGGCCCACAAAAAGTGCTCCTGGTACCTAGAATTAGATGTAACGGACAACCCTGGCAGGTAGATAGTAACCTTATTCTACTACCCTGAATGCCAGCTCCCACCTCTGACGAGGCCACAGCTGAGAGAGGAAACGGTGGCGGGCCAGGCCCTGCACCTTCTCCTCCGTTTCCTGAGGACATCGTCTTCCAGTTGGAGCATTAGCTGCTCCTGTTTCTCAGGGTCCCTTCAGAGACAAAGTGACCACTAAGATGACCGATTTTCTCCGGAGAAGTCACTGCTGGCATTAGCAGTGAGAAAAACAACACGCAACGCCTTGACATCCAGCGAGGGCTCTGCATAGTTTCTAAGTGCTTCATCACACTTAGTAAGGTCACAGAATCTCAGAGCTGAGACACTGCAGAGGTGACACGGTCCCAGCCTCCCCCTTAGGCTTGAGTCCCCCGTAGGGATTGCAGGGAGCTCGGCACAACCCTTCCGCACTCCCAGGAAACATCCCCAGCACGGATCACACTCAGGGACGCCAGCTTCCTACATAAGGACAGGTAGAGTGTCCCTAATTAAAAAGAGGACACACCCTGACGTTCATTCATCCAGGCTTCTTGGGAACAAACCATACCAGGAACCACTAAACAAACTGGTTCGCTTGAATTTGGAGTGGTAATCATCTGAGAATAATAACCATATAGTTCACTGAACCAGAAAACATGGGCAAGCGTCGACTACAAGTTGGTAGGTCCAGGAGGAAATCCACTGATTCAGGCTACGTGCCTGTCGCAAGGTGGTTAACCTTTCTGCATCTGTTTCTTTGGCTGAGAGATGGCGGAAATAATCACTGTGGGGTGTGATGAAGGATTAACGCATTTAAGGGCACGGTGCAGTGTTTGGCGAATATTCAACAGAGGTGAACTTTCTTTCCCTTTTCTCCACCAGTAAGCAAATCTGAAAAGATCACGAACACACAGTACAGCGAACACGAGAAACAGAATCCCCGCCTTGGAGATGAGCGAGCACAGGAGACAGAGCTCTGGCACGAGCCAGTGAAGGCACCGGTTCCTCTTCTTGGCACCCTTCCTGCTCGGACATCGGGTCCGGGATCCCTTTGCTCCGGTTCTCCAACTCTGCAGTTGACATCTAGCCACTTCCACGCTGAGGGGGAAGCTGAAATGGAGCACATCTCACATGAAGACGGGCTGCACGTGGTTCCCAGCACTCTAATCAGGGCTCAGTCACTTCTCAGCACAACTGCCGGGGCTGGAGGGTGGGTGATTACAGGGGAAGACGCCGGCACCCCGCTCCGGGTGGCATGAGTGAGAGAGACAGAACTCTCAGCATCTTTGCCCAGAACCCTGAGCTCTCCCAGCAAGGGCTGCCCCAGCGAGGCCACGGGTCTCCGGCCTCGCCTGGCACATTGGGCCCCAGCCACGCCCCAGGCCAGGGCCCTTAGCTAGGATTGTTGGTGTCTCCTGGGAGACCACACAGAGGTGGGTGAGGGCCTGAGGGGTTAGGACTGAGGGGCAACGGGCTCTCGAACCTTCCTTTCCCAAGCCAAGCTCTCAAAGGGAAAAGTAACTTCCAAAGCCGAACCCTAAAAGGAGGGCAGAATTTGGTGATATGGCCGGTCCTCTGCTACACGTTATCCCCCAAAAGTGCCTTTCCACGTGCATGAAGGCTGAAGCAGCTCCTCAGAGATCATTCCAGGGAAGGGCCCTGTCAGAGTGGGCAAGGACAGCCAGCAACACAAAGGGCCCCAGAGAGGAGCAAACAGCCTCTTGGGACAGTGCTGGTCCAAGCTACCAGGCCCAGAGGCACATGTGTCACACTGCCCCCTCCAGACAGATGGTGTGGCACTGTCCCGCGGCAGGACAGCACCACAGGCTGAAGGGCAACTTTGGGTTTCTCTGCCCAACCCGTTCAAACCTTGTTTTCTGTTCCCTAAATGTCATGGATGTGACTGTCAAGGGGCCAAGAGGAATCACTCATACTGGACAGTTTCCTAAGGGCAGAAGATCTGTTGAATTTCTGTTTCTGCAGCACCTAGCATGGTGTCTGGCATGGCGTGGATGTTCAGGAAATCTCTGTTGATGTGAAAGATGAGAAAGGTCACTGACTCCTTAAGGCTTCTAAAGCAGCGGTTACAGCTCATTTCTGGACTGCACACGGCTGGCCTCAGGGCAGAGGGGCAGGGCTCGGGACGCTGAATGCATGGGTGACGAGAAACCTCGCTTAACTGAGAATGTGGATGCCCTGAGCTAATTAGAGGAGCAGCGCCTTTCAGAATCATAAGGCTGGAAAGTGCGTGTCTTTTCACTTCATTTTGCCTCTCCCCAAGCTCAGAGCAGGACCCAACCAAACCACACCTGGAAAGACAGAGGCTCGGGGACAGGTACTGTTCACTCACATTTGAATGGGTCATAACTCCATAACTCCAGCAGCTGGAGACAAACAGAAAAGACGGACTCCTCCTGCACGTGGCTGATCCCAAAGCTCGGGAGCTGCTGACTGAGGCCAGAGCATCAGGAAGAGGAGAGGCATCATCTGCAGGAGGTTCTGGAAGGCTGCATCCTGGATGGGGCAACCCTCTCCCCGCCAGGCCACTGAGCTCGAGCTCAGCCCTGCACCTGGCTTCTCCTCCCCTGCTGCTGACTCAGCACTCACAGATCTGCTGATGAGCTCCAGGAAGAGCCCTGGGCACCACTCGCTCTGCTATGCTGGTCACAGCTCAGGCCTCTCCAACCTGCTGCACTTAGTTGCTTAAAATGAAGAAGATTGAGCCTGGCAGCTCAAGAAAGAGCTGGAAAACTCATATCAAACCAGGGTCATCTGGAAACTCCAACAAACTGCTGGGGAGGACCCAGGGAGCAGCTGATGGCCAAGGAACAATGCTTTAAGTTTCCCTCGGGTTTCTTGAACTCTCCATGGCCCTGTGGCCTCCTCTCCCCCCGTGGCCTCCTCTCCCCCCAACCATCTTCCATAAAGAACAGGCTTGACTTTCTAACACATTGATAATAGGGGTCTATCAGGCCAAGAGAGAGGGAAAGGTCTCAGCCAAAAGGGAAGCATTCAGTGGGCCATTTGTTTAGTAGGAAAGCTGAGTAGGCGGCCTCCCAGTCACAGTGGCACTGGGACACAGTAAGGAAAGGTTCAAGGGCAGGATGCCTGGAGGATGACCTCTGAGGGTCTCAGCACCACCAGGCACCCACTGGCTGCTGACCACACTGGTTCCCTAGTCTAACAGCCTATACTGAGAGGCAGGGGAGAGCAGAGTAGTTCAGAGCCCAGACCCCAGAGCCAAGCTGCCTATTTTCATATACTAGGACTTTCTCTGAGACTTGAGAAGTTACTTAACCTGTGTCTCAGTTTCATCATCTGCAAAACAGATATACTAGCAGCCTTACCTCACAGGCCCATCATGAGGATTAAATAAGCCAAGAGACTGAAAACACTGAGAACAACGGCTGGCCCATAGTAAACCCACAGTAGTTAACTATTATCATCTTTACTGTCGGCTTTCTGAGAGCAGTCCTCACTCAGATAGTCTCCGCAGTGCCCAGTGTAGCACGGCCTCATCAATGTAAAACAAAAACAATTAGTACCATTTACCACGTATGCACCGTGGAGACTTACATCACTCACTCCCCACATAAGCCCAATGCAGGAAGTATTTTCACAGAAGGTAAATATCTTGCCTAAGATGAAACCAGTAACTGTCCAGGCTGGGATTGAAACTCAGCCTCTGACTACAGAGCCTGCTTCTTCTTCCCACAGGCTACACTGCCTGACTGCTAACCACCACCTGCTCAGCACAGAGCAAGACGGGAACAGAAGTCCAAACAGAAGTCTAGCAAGAGAAGAAGAGAATATAAAAAGAGATGCTGTGGACCTCAGAAGAAATTCACTGTCTCGTAAAGGTCTGTGTCTTTCTCTGGACCTAGGTTTGTCATCATCTGAGCTTTCCCTTGGACTCTGGATTTCAGATCTCACAGGGCATTGCACGGCAGTACACAGTGCCTTCCATTCTTCGTGTGAACACACTTCCAAGAGTTTCAGATACTCTTGGCACTCTGATCAGAAGCCAGCCATGCAGGGTCAGTGTGAGCTCCAGGTGAGGCTCGCTGCTATATTAGCCGGGAACTTCCTGCTTTTGGAAGTACCATTTCTACAGAACAGAAAGTACAATCCCAACAGGAGAATTCCTGTAAGGCTCTGAGGACACTAACATCTTCTAACAAGAGCCCTACTTCGAAAACTTGACTTGCCCCATCTCCTCTAAGGACCTCATCTTTTAAGCGCCACAGAAACATGGGAGACCTGCTCAGTGAACTGTCAGCACGGCAGGGAGTAGAAGAGGTGGGGATTCCGCCCACTGCTGACTGGGCCTGAAATGAGCACACTTCAGGGACCCTCACTAACGTACCCGCTTGTGATGAGAAGGCTCCTGGTCATGAACTGAATGCTTCTCACTGACCTCACAGCATCAGCACCATAGACGCTCCCTACTTCTGCAGAACAACCAGTACCAAATAGCCATTTCCTGCTCACCAGCTGCTCCCTTATCAGAAATCTTCCTCCTCCTTCCTCCTCTAACACCCCTGCACACACACTGAGAGGATCAGAAAAAGCAGGAAATGCTTGCCTAAGGCCAGAGAAAATACCAGAGAACAGAAAGAGACAAGAAAACTGCACCAGGTATTTGTTGAGCAGGGCAACTAGTTCCCTAACAGAAAGATAAACTTGAGACTCCCCCTCTATCTCATGACAGTGAGGTACCAAGAGTTACCATCTGCCGTGCTGCCTGTCATCTTCCTGGGGCCTCACTGTATCTCTGTTAAAAAGGCAGGAAACAACAGGCACTATGTCTAGAGAGAGAGGAGCTGAGGCAGCGACTACACTTACACATAGATAAGAGCATAGATTTAATTCCCATCATTTGGCTCTAAGAAACCCATGGAACAACTGCTCAGTCTCTTTACTGGGCAGGTGGTAATGCAGACCCATTAACAGGGCGCCTTCCCACTTCATCGGTCTAGAACTCTCTAAGACTCGAGCGGAGTAAGAACAGGGAAACCCAGAGCCAGGGAACCTGGGGCCACGTGCTGTGAGCCAGAAAGCAAAGTTAAGGCGAGTCCATCACCAGGAGCCAACAGACGTTGCATTTCAACAGGGGTTTCTTTAGTCCCTGGTATGTTTTGTACTCATCTATGTAACTGCTCCTTGCCTTAGCTCCCCCCAGTCTCAAGGAACCAGGAGTTGGAATAATTTCATTCCTTTCTAATTAAACATTTTTTCCTCCAGTAGATAATCTACATTGACCCTAACGAGGAAAAATCTGAGCTGGTGAGACTGCAGGAGGTGGTTTATTTTCACAACAGTAAAATATCTAAACCAAATATGCCCTGCGTTTCAGCAGCTTAAACATTGAGGTCTGACAAGGACCCAAGATTCCACTTCGCTTGCCAAGGGCTAAGTGTGTATGTTTAAGTAGGAGAAAGTGATTATGAAGAAACACGGGAATGTCTGAGTAGGTGAAGGGGAAAAGAGGTGCAGACATCGCTAGAAAAATGAGATTGCACACAAAGTCCTATCGCCTAAGCGTGAGAAAAAGCGAGGGGCAGCGCCCCTGGGTGTGAAGGTCTGAGCTCCCCTTGAAACCAGCGAAGCCTGCACCGGGGACCCAGGGGGCCAAGCCTGACTTCATTTCCCACTCGAGCTGTTTACAATTAAGCGACGGAGCGCCGGGCCTTCCGCCCTCCGCTCTGGTTCGCCCTGCCAGGGAGGTCGGAAGAGAGCCGGCACTCGGAGGGGCTTGGCCGCCCAGCGGCTCCTCCTCGCGCCCGGCCCCAACCACCCAGCGCGCGCTCCTCCGGGGCGCGCCGCCCGCCGCCCACTCGCGGAAGCCCGCGGCCTGGAAGGGGCCACCGTCTCCCGGCATGCTCGGCGGCGGGGCGCGCGCCCGCGGCGGTCACGTGACGGCAGGGGCGGGTCCGCGCTTCTGGCCGCAGCCGGGTTAAGGGGACCTAAGAGGCTCTCCTGGGCGTTTGCTTGGTGCCCTGGCGGTGGGAAAGTCTGGGGTCCGCCACTGCACCGTTTGGGAAGGAATCTCAGTGCCGCTATCTGCCAGCTCCGTGGTCTTGGGAGGATTTATCGAAGTCTCGGTTTCCGCATTTGTAAAATGGGTAGAATAGATCTTTTGTAGGGATTTTGTGAGAACCGAAAGGGACAATCTAGGTCTGCTGACCTAATTTACTGAGTTAGCAATAACTTGTAATTGGTATTTTATGGCACGCTAAACAGGTTTTTCTAAAGTATTTGTACTGTTACTATTTATATGACTCATAAGTTGAGCAGTCCCCGTTTTTCATACCGCCAAGTATGTTGAATTCAGCCCACACTGAATTACCGAACTTACCGGCTCTTATGTCTTCCCCATCCCTCTCACACCCCAGGAGCAACAACTTCTGGTCTCACTGTTGGTTAACTTTTGTGTAAGGGCTGATACCCCAAAACCCACAAAGAAACAAAACCCTTCATTTATTCAGAAAACACTGTGCCCAACGCCACGGACAGCTTGCGAAGGGTACTGACCGGTTGCGAAGGGTACTAACCAGTTCCGCAAAGGAAACCGACAGACTTAAGCTTGTATTTCCCTAGACCTCAAACACCGAGAGGGTCAGGCTCTAATACTATTTATTCACAGCCCAGAGAACCTGGGATAATTCAGTCTTAGGCTGAATTCAATATGTATGAAAAAAGGCGGCTGCTAAACTAAGAGTTTAGAGCAGAATAAACATTAACAGTACAAGCACTTAAGAAAAATCTATTTAGCATGCCATAAAATATCATTTACAAATTATTAACTGTTACAAAATTAGGTCCCCAATGTAATTGTACATGACTAAGAAAGTAATAAAAATGACTTATCTTTTTAAAAATTGTTATATGATCCAGGCTAGCCACACACCCACCCCGCAACAGCCAACATAACTGGTCAAAGTTGTGAGAATTTCCTGTATAAAACTTGTGTGTGCTGATGAAAATGTATGAGACTGGAGAAAAACCCAGCTAGTTTCTTTCCTGGGTCACTATGAAGAACTGAACTGAGCAGGCAACAATGAAAACTGTCTTTCTGGGAGATTTTCTTGGGGAATGCAACATTTTCTCACTCTGCAGAAACAAACAGAAAAAGACCTTGACCAAAGCACTGGAGATAAAAATGACATGGGGAAAGAGAGTTTACAGTGGCTTGAAACAAAGCAGTGCATCATTTTGGCAACTTTACAGGAAGGCTTTTTTCAGGGATCACTGGCTACTTAAACAGTAAGTGATGGACGTTCAACAATGCAGTGCCCAGTTGAGGAGTAAGAGGCTTTCACCTCCTCAGCTGATACGGGAAAAACTGTGACTTCACACAATTTCGGCTTCATTTGAAATCTTGTGCTGGAATGAACTTTCTTAAAGTTGTAGGCTCTCTTGCACTGTGAAAAAACTCCTCAAAACTTAGAACTGGAAGGGAGAACTACTGGAAAAATCGTGTGTGTGCTTTTTAGAAGAATCACAGCATTGCTCCTGCTTGGTTAAAAGTACTAAATGTTCAGAGGTGAGTTCCAGAATACGCAGGAAACAAAAAAAGTACCAGTAACTATGGTAGAACCAGGTCCATAGGTTCCCCACACTCAGGCCACGCTCCCACACAGCAAAATCATCCTAAAATTTTGTAAAATATTTAGGGGCTAATTCCTTTATCACTTGCCCCACATTTTACGTAAACATTCTGACGGCCAGTGGGAGGGAAGAGATCCCAGAAACATAAAATCGGGGTTGAAGATTCTGATTCTCTCCCTCCTGCCCCAAGTCCTGTCAATTTCCTGGGTCGAATCCAAATATTGAGAAGCAGCTGTGTGCACACGTATGCACACATACCTTCAACCTCCAACCAGAAAGACTTGTATCTGTGACTGTCTCCGTCCCATTGCAGGAGGCTGGGCTGGCCTGGACAGTTGGAGGCCCAGCTGGTGACTGTGGGCATCTCCCCTCCAGCTAACACCAAATTACACTGGGACTTTTCTCCTGACCCCTGAGAACAGATCTCTGAGACCCGAGTCATTCCTTTCAGCTCCCTCTCAGGCAGGTCATTTGAGGAATTAGAAAAGTCCCTGGGAACTGAAGCAAAGCCTCTTAACCAAGCAGGCCCAGAGGTGCTGGGAAAGCACTCTGATGAACCCGAAGAAATTTTCCTCCCCCTCTTCCAACTCCCAAGGACCCATCTGCTCACAAAAACATCAATGCAACCAGCCCGTTCTCTCATGTCCCAAGCTGCTAAAGGCGAAGGGTCAGCAGGCAAAGGCTAATAGCTGCTGGGAGTTGCCAGGAACATCTGGGCAGATGTTCCCCTCCCCCTTCCTGTGACAGGAATGTCAAAAAGCATTCGGAACCCATCTCCACCCCCAAAACCCTAAAAGATTTCAATAGTTTCAGAGGCACTACAAAATTTTGAAAGAATAAGATAAAAGAACATGGTATCACAAAGTTGAACTCAACCCTGGAAAATAACAAACAACACAAAACAAACAAACAAACAAACCAGATAGTAAAACACTTCGGGCTGGACAGTTGCCTCCTCCAAGTACATACAAGAGGCTCTCCTTTGCCCACTTCTAATCCCAGGTTCCTTGACCGGAAACTTCCTGTAACTTGGACTTTCTGAGCTAAAAAGGGACCTCAGAGATCAACAAGTCTTTGGGTTCTAAACCTGCAGACTGTGGAATGAAGTTGAGATGGGCTTCTAGCTGCACACGTCCTGAAAGAGCATGCAAAATGGTTTTTGAAATGTGCATTTTTCCAGGGAAAGGGTGCACTGCTTTCAACCACTTTCCAAAAGCACAAGACGCAAAAAGGGGTTAAAAACCACCGATTTAGTCCAACTCCTGGACTTCAAAGACCCAGAAACTCAACTGAGTGCTCCAGGTGACAGAGCAAATTACAAGCCACCTTCTAAAGCTGGTTGGGCCTGTGGGAGGGGAGGACACCGCATGCGCTAACAGGCTCTTTCCCTTTCTAATTACAAGGATTCCGTGAAGTCTCCAGCCGCCACTCTGTCTGGCTTTCTGGGCCTGGGTGTGTCGGTCGCCACTCGGTTGCCATGGTGTACAGATAGCCCAGGGGCTGGGGATGGCTGGATATGGCCAGCCGCCAGCTAGCCAGCACCCAGCCACCAGCTCTCCACCAAAATGCCTCCTGGGAGTTCAAAAGGGGGTTTTCAAAAAACAGGGTGAGACACAGTTCAGTCCTCCAAGGACCCATCACCAAGGTTGGTTGCATAAGAAAAATCAGTAAAAATCATTGCCCTCAAGTACCACATGGTCCCTATTTCCAGACCAGGACAATTAAGAACAGTTTCACACGGGGGAAAAAAAAGAGATAGATTAGAATAAATCGGAATGAAACACTGTTGCAAAATAAAGTATGCTTTTCAGAGAAAACCACAGAATAGAAAGACATTTGTAAATAATATACTGATCACTTACTATAGAAAAATGCTATCAACACGGGCCATTAATACCGCAATTCAATTACATGGTTGCTCAATGGGGACAAGCAGCCAGTTTGCATAATTAAAGGCATCATCACAAGGAAACATGTAGGGTCTCACTTTAACTAAAGAATTACAAATTAAAATTTTAGGGGAAAAAAAATTTTAAGGGACAATTAGACAATACCAAACTAGAAAGAAAACCCACTGGTGACAGGGAAGCCAGAGCATTTAGACCTTGCAGATGACCCTGAATTGGTTCAGTTTTTCCAGAGGGTAAGGTGGAAAGATGACACAGCCATATGTTCTTGGGCTCTGACCGACAATACCACTAAGAGGAACATTTTCCAAATTAGTTACTAAAGGGAGTAGACAGAGGGTAATTTTTACGAAAATGCTCATTGCTGCTACAGTAAAGGCATGACCGTGTAAATTACATAGCGGTTCAAAGCTGAGACTCAGGAATCAGGCTGCAGTACCTTTCTAGATACTGTGTGCCTCAGTTTCCTCATCTGAAAATAGGCTGCTATGAGGATTAAGTAAAATAATCCATAGAAAACACTTAGAACAGTGCCTGCTCTACAGTAAGTACTTGATAAAAGTTAGGTGCTATCACAATTATATTCACTTAAAATGACAAGCAGATGACCCCATGTCAATTCATGAAAATGAAAATGTGAGATGACATTAAAATGATAAAATCGAAAGGTAAAACTATCAATACTACAATCAGATTACACGTATGTAAAACAAAACTATGCAGCTTATCGAAGTACACTCAGAATGAGTGAAATCACTCGTTTGATCATGGTTATCGTTAGAGTCTTTCTCCCTAATGTTTATGTTAAAAATAAAAAAGAACAAAGGAAATAATCAACACTGCCTCAAACGCTTTGCAGGATGAGGCAGGGAACAGAGCAAGGGACCTGATATTGTTTGGGTGTCTACATCCGCCCTGAAGGAACCCAGCAAAACGTGTGCTGGGTGAAGCTTTCCAGGAGTAAACACGTACTAATGGTTTTAAGTCACTTCCAGGCCACAGGCGGACTTGGGCACAAGCTTGTGACACATTCTGTTCAGCGAGACGGGGCTATCTGCCAGCCATCTTCTGAGAAAGATGCCTCAGACACAAGGAAGAGTCATCCCCCTTTTCCCTCCACACAGGACACTTGGACCTGCACCAGCCGTCCTGCCACCCAGAGAAGAGGGGCATCACCGTGCTGTGGGGACGGAGCAGATCGATGCAAAGGACATGAGTGACTCTGCTGCTCTAGTGAATTACCCAGCACTGCAGCTGCCTATGCTGGAGCTAATTAATTAAGGTGAAACGTTGTATTTTCCTTACTGTTCAAGCCCGCAGAATTGCAGTTTTCTGATACTTGCAGCGAGAGCATCTTAACTAATGAGGCAGGGAGCCTGTGCAGCCCCCTCGAAGCCCCGGGCCCTGCGGATTCTGCCAGGAGGCCTCATTGTAGCCCATCCCGGGAGAGAGGTCAGGGGAGGTGGAAGAAGAGAAGACACTGGCTTTTCTATCCCCATCTTACAAAAGAGGCCTAAGGACAACTCCAGGTGGCACAGTAAGCAGGTGACAGCACTGGGCAGCAGAGCCCCAGACGTCTGGCCCCTTAAGAGGGGACCTCCAGAGGCCTCCTGGCCTCCAACGCTCATTTCTGGATTCACACATTTCACAAAGCCTAGGACAAAACTGCCCTCTGGAGTAGGGCTGCCAGGAAAAGTACAGGACATCCAGCTAAGTTTGAGTCAGATAAAGAACGGTAACTTTTTAGTATAAGTATATCCCATATGTGAGGCTTCCATGCCCCTGCTCCAGCTCTCCCCCCTCTTCCAGGCATCAGATTAGGAACAAAGGCCTTCGTCTGCACACTGGACATGGAGATGGCCCCCCTGACCCCCGGTCGTCATCTGGGCTGCCCTGGGTGTGTCTGGCCCATGGGTAGGAGGATGGCCTGCGTCTGGCCTCACGAGGTCTCCAATGAGTCTAGGAAGGTCTGATGAGCATGATATAGTAACAGACAAGAAGCGGCTGATGCTTCAAATGCAGGGATGGGGCAGGCGTTGCTATGGTCCTGGGAGGTCTGGCAGCTATGCAGCAGGCGGTAGAGGACCTGGAGAAACACAGAGGCTCCTGACCTCCAACTTCCCCCAGAAGAGCTTCACTGATGAAGCAGAAACTTCCCTGAGCCTGCCCTGTCTGAATATGACTCCCCTGCCTCTGGGCAGCGCCGGTCCACTGTCTATAGACTCACCTCATCTGTGGTCACGTCGGCCGCATGGTCTCTCTCCAGCAGGCCATGTCTCACGGCACAGTCCCCCAGGCCCAGCACGAGGTGTGTGTAATTTGCTTGGTGCCACACTATCTACACCTGCTCACAGACAATCCCTCAATACAGCTTGCCGATGAGAGGGGAGCCTCATTTCCTGGAACCTGGCTTTATGGTTCCTGTCTGGTATCCCTCCAGTGTCCTGCCCAGGCCAGTACTGGCCCAGAACTGGCACACAGTAAGAGCCTGTGAAGAAACAGCTCACCGACTAAGGAAGATCTGACTGACTGATTGAAAACTCCAGCCACGTTCCAGCGACAGACAGATCTCCCTTCCCCTCCCCTCTCTCTTCTCTTCCCCGTTTGCTGCTTCCTGTAGAAGCTGCTGTGCCAACAGGTATTGTTGGAGAAGTCTGAGGCTGGTGACCATGACCTTCAGAAGGACAGAGGGAGAAAACACATGGAATCTCCTACATTCACAGTGATCCCTTTTAATTACTTGTCTTTTTTCCTTCCAGAAACGGGAAGGAGAGCTAAACAGAAATGGCAGGTAAGAATGCTATATAATTTGCAGGGCCCAGGGCAAAGTGAAAACAGTAGCACCTGTTGTTCAAAATGCAGGGAAAAGGGCCAGGAAAGGTAGTAAAATATAAAACTTTTTTCTTTCTTCCACAGTCTCTCTCTCTCTACCAGAGGTAGTGTTGATTCCCTGCTGTTTAACATCTCTGGGCTAATGCAGACCCTCACGGGACCCAGGCGTCTCACCCCATGACTCTGGCCACTCAAGGGGGCTGCTGGGTCCCCTCCCACCGGCCGCCAGGTCAGGGGCAGAGAGGTCTCCTCTCCCCACAGGCTCGCCTGCCCCAGGATGGGAGCACCCAAAGGATCACAACCTCCGTGTGGGACACTCTTGGTACCTGGATGGGGAGGGAGAGTGAGGCTCGACCCAATAAGTTGTCGCTTTGCGGCGTTGCCAGCCTGGGGTGGGGATGGCCACCACGCCCCACCTTGCGACACCAGTGGCATAGACCCTGGCCCTCCCTGACCCCTCCCCCAGGCCCCTGCTGGGACGTCAGCAATTGCTGGGGGGTGGGGAAAGGAGGCAGGTGGTGCCCCAACCCAGGGGACCCAGGCTCCATTGTCTCACAGGACTTCATTTACAAAACACAACTCAAAGACAGAATTATTAAGAATTTCAAGATGGTGACTGCAGAGCATTAAGCCCAAGGGTGGGGACTTTGCAGGGACCACGGGGCCCTGTGTGACTGCACTGCTCACGCACCCATGAAGCCGGCCCTGAGGTAACAGTGCTGATTCAGAGAAGATGGAATGAAAATGTAAAATAGATAGCTAGTGGGAAGCAGCCGCATAGCACAGGGAGATCAGCTCAGTGCTTTGTGACCACCTAGAGGGGTGGGATAGGGAGGGTGGGAGGGAGATGCAAGAGGGAGGGGATATGGGAACATATGTATATGTATAACTGATTCACTTTGTTATACAGCAGAAACTAACACACCATTGTAAAGCAATTTTACTCCAATAAAGATGTTAAAAAATAAATAAATGACCAAAAACAAAAAATATATATATGAGGCCCATAGCTGGCTCAAGCTAGCAAGGTGTTTGCCTAATATCCCACCCCTGTCTTCTCCCTACCTCTCCAAAATCCTTTGGCTGTGACTGGTGTCCTCCTGAGATGCTGCCCAAGTAACTAATTCCTTGCAGTGGTTCCTAACCAGACACAGTATGTGGCCTGGCCCCAGGGGGTGTCTGGAAGGGGGGGTGCACAGTGGACAGGGGGGTTACTACTGGCAAATACTGCCCAGTGGTGGAAAATACTAGATGGCCAGCAGTGTGCTGGGCAGTCCCAAACTATGAGACGGGCCCTACCCAGCATATGCCAGCAACGCCCCAGGAAGAAAAACCACGCAGGGGAATTTCGAAGCTTCAGTGGAAACCTGCCCTTCCGGACCTCCTCTCCCTTGTCATGGAGGCGACAACAGAAATAGCTCAGGAGTCCGTTGTCTCTTCCAGGTTTGAGCTGAACTGCTGGGGTGTCTGCCAGTACTTAGCATCCCTCACACACCACGCCGGTCCCTGGCCCCAAGGCCCCACGTGAAGGGCGAGAAAGAGGGGTTTCACAGCAGGCTGGGGCCATGTGGGGCCCCAAGTCAGTTAGCAGGAGCTTGAGCGTGAGGTTAATCATTCTTCTAGACGCCCTTCGTTCCCTTCCACTCTCCTCCCAAGCAAACCCTGCAATGCCCTCGCGGGGAGAGTCCCCCAGCCCCTGGGACTGGGAGGAGGGCTTCAGGAAATCTCCCTGCGGTGGCTACAGTGAGCCAAGCCAGGGTGGAAACTTAGCAAGAGTGAGATAATCGCTGAGTTTTATATATAGCACCTGTGTCTTCCGGAGACCTCAGAGCGGGGAAGGACAGGTTTAACCACCTTCCACCTCCCCAGGGGTGGGTAGGGCTCACCAGGAAGCAGCCCTTCTCGGAGCCCTGCTGGGAGGGGTCGGGCCCTTGTGGGGGCCACAGCAGTCTGGGTCCCCTGCACTCTTGATCTCTGTGGGCACAGTGCCAATCCGAGGATGAGTGAAGGGTTAGCAAGAGTTCACAGCCTCCCCACACTAAGTGGGCAACTGAGAAAGACGGCAAAGGCAGCTGGGCTACAGGCCTCCTCTGCCCAAACAGGTCCCCAGAGCCCGTGCACTTGCAAACAGCTCCTGCTCGGCTACCTGCAGCATGCCCACTTTACAGCCGAGAAAAAGGTGTTGAAGGGACGCTGGTCCTGACTGGGGAGCCCTGGCCTGGGCGGAGGGGGAGCTGGCCTGGCCCTGGCCCTGCACCCCACAGGCCCACCTGTCTGTTCCCGTCTGGTCCTGCATAACCTGCTGAAGGGCACCATCGGCTTTGATGCTCTCAGAGGGAGAAAGCACAGGACAGGCTGGGGGTGTGAAAAATGGAAGGGAGCCACCGTGCATCACGGAGCACCCTGGGGTATCCGACAGCAGAGGGAGGAAGCCCGTGCAACCCAGGTTAGGCAGCTGTCAGCAAACCGCAGGACGGTCAGGAACGCTACCCCACTGCACACCTGGCATCGCAGCCCTCCCTTGGGTACAGGCACCCCACGCGCCCCTACAGCTGCACACGCACGTGCGCACACACACACTCACACTCACACTCACACACGCTCCAGCAAGACCCCAGAGGTAAGGAGACTCTGGACCTAGCTGGCTGTTCTCAGCTCTTCTGGTGCCTGGAGTCCCTACCTCCAAGTTCCCAGATTGTGACTCATCCTGTCTCCCTGTGGGTCGATGCCTGTGTGTCGCCCCCGCCCTCCCCATTTCTGTCCACCTCACTTGCCCTGTCTCCCTACACACCACGGGGAGAAACAGTTTGGAAACCAGGTTTGGAGAGAGCACTTCACTGGGGAGGGAAGTGGCCAACGATTGCTATCTTTATTTCTATTTTTCTAAGACCTCTGTGCCCCCTCTGCCTAGGGGTGACAAGGACTGCATCCTCCCCACAGGTTTCCGGTTTTTTCCCATTTTAGATCCACTGCAGCCAGCCTCTGTCTCTATCTCCTCACCCCAGGGCCTGGGACAGAGGCGCGGTCTGAGCGAGTTTCCAGCAAGGAAAATGCTCCTGGGTTATTTATAAGGCATCGGTTGAGACTTTCTAAAATCATCCCAAATGCTCTCGATGGCTCCTGCCCTCATCCAGGGCTTCCTTCTGTCTCTGAACAGCCCCATAAATTTACAGTCCACAAAGGACACCATCTTGCTACTTGGCTCGGGCTTGAAAGCTGTTCTACTTACTACAGGACCAGCCAGGGAAAGCCTCCTGGGTGGGTGTTGAGATAACTACCAGTGTCCTGAACAACTACACCCACTTCCATAAAACAACCTACGGCATCCAGGTCTTATTTTCTCCACTCCTTCCTCCCACTCCCACCCCCAACGTCCAAACTCTAAAATGAGGGCCTGTGACTTGGTCCTAACCCACAAGGACCTCTCTGGCTTATTCAGAGTATTAAAATTTTTTGGAATCTTAATAGTTTAATTTTCTCTTTTTGCTCAGCGATTTCACACTGGCTTTGGCAATAGGCCATCACTGAAAGCCAAGCTAGGAGGCCCTCAAAGAGAGGATGAGGTGTCCGTGGTCGCGCATCCCAGGTGAAGACCTTTGACACCTGTGGTAGACGTGAGTGCTGTCTCCAGCACACTTCCGGTTCTTTCCCCGGGCACGTGGTAGGACTCGAATCCCCTGTCGCCTTAAAGTTGAGGACATGAGACTCGCTCGGCCAATTAAATATGAGCAGAAGTGATAGATGCTACTTCTGGGCTGAAGTTTTTCGAGCCAGGATGGGATATGCCACATTCTCGTTCCCTCTGCCCTGGTGCCCAGCAATGTTCCAGACAGTGGCTGCACCACCAGCGTGGGTCACAGAGTGAAGACGACAAGCAGTAGAGCCCACAGCTGACCCAGATCAGGCAGGAGGCATGAGCAAGAAACAAACGTTTGATGTTTTAAACCGCTGACTGCGAGGTTGTTATGCAACAAAACCTAGCTCATCCTGACTGATACAACACCTTTGATTGAAAGTAAGAATTATACGGCTGCTGTGAACACAGCCTGATGCTAAGGAAACAAGACAACATCAAGAGAGGGAAGTGAAGGGTCTAGAGTGAACGGTCATCCCTTAAACCCGCCTTGTCTTCTCACGCTTTCATGCTTTTGTGCCTGTGGGTCCTTCTACTACGAATATCCTTCCCCTTTCTCCACCTAAGTGAATTCCTCCAAAATTGAACTCAAACAGCACTATCTTGGAGACTTCTCTTCCCAATGACCCCCAGATAGAGTGGCATCTGTCCTCTGCTTCCGACAGGACTCTGCATGGACTTATCGTTCTAAACACATGGATACTGTGCTAAGCACTTATTACCTGGGTAGGCAGTATAGAGCCATGGTTA